GGGCCGCGGGAGGGGGGGCGCCCACAGAGGGAGAGGTAGGCCCCGGAGCCTGCTCTCTCTTCCCAGGGCCCAGGCGTCTTGGGCCCCCCAACTTCCTACCGGGCTGACCAGCCCTCCTATCCCTGGTGTCGCCCCTCAGGGGGAGGGCCCCGCTGAGATGGGGGCTCTGGTGCTGGACAAGGAGCCCAGAGGAGCCGTCGAGCGAGGTGAGTGAAGCAGAAACGGCCCCGCGGACCATTACCTCCCCAAGCGCAGGCCCCTGGCCCGGAGCCCTGAACTTTCTCTCTTCCCTTACAGTTCACGGCTCTTTTGGGGACACCCCTCGTAGTGAGGAGACCCTGCCCAAGGCCAACCCCGACTCCCTGGAGCCTGCTGGCCCCTCATCCCCAGCCTCTGTCACCGTGACTGTTGGCGACGAGGGCGCCGACACCCCTGTAGGAGCCACACCACTCATTGGGGATGAACCTGAGAATCTGGAGGGCGATGGGGACCTCCACGGGGGGCGCGTCCTGCTGGGTGAGCGGCGGTGGAGGCTGGGGGAGGTGGGGCGCCCTCTGACTCTGCCTTCCTCTGATCTTGCCTTGCTACCTGCCTGCTGTTTTCCAGGCCATGCCACAAAGTCATTCCCCTCTTCCCCCAGCAAAGGGGGTGCCTGTCCCAGCCGCGCCAAGATGTCAATGACGGGGGCGGGGAAGTCACCCCCCTCGGTCCAGAGTTTGGCGATGAGGCTGCTGAGTATGCCTGGGGCCCAGGGGGCAGCGGCAGGGCCTGAACCCCCTCCGGCTACAAACAGCCCAGAGGGGCAGCCCAAGGTCCACCGAGCCAGGAAAACCATGTCCAAGCCGGGCAATGGACAGGTGAGGCCTGGGGGAGGGCTGTGGGGTGCAGAGCTCAGCCTCTGGGGGGCTTTCCGCGCCCTCTAGCTTCAGGGCTGCTAATCGGGTCACAGCTCTATGCATGTGCCCCGGGGCTGTTTTGTGTCACATTCTGGGCTGGGGCTTCATGCGTGAACAGACAGGTCCCCTGCACTTTACAGTCTTGGGCAGAGTAGGAGAGACAACTGTTAGACTTATGTATGTAGTTCATGTCTTAATTACTCTTCTTTAAAAAATATATTTTATTGATTTTTTAGAGAGGAAGGGAAAGGGATAGAGAGTTAGAAACATCCATGAGAGAGAAACATCGATCAGCTGCCTCCTGCACAACCCCTTGACTGGAATCGACCGAAATCAAGGTACATGCCCTTGACTGGAATCGAACCTGGGACCCTTGAGTCCGCAGGCTGACGCTCTATCCACTGAGCCAAACCGGGTAGGGCTTAATTGCTCTTAAGACAATGATGATGTAAAGAAACGTCAACCCCTCTATCTTTTTAGCTCAGAGCAAGCCCCGGGGAACTCTGCTCCCCAGAAACGGCCCCTGCTCCAGTTTAAAGGTTGTGCTCCTACTGGGGAGGAGACAGGCCTCGGGAATGACAGGCCCCAGCATCTCCCAAGCTTTATGACTGTTTTTAAGGCTGTTGGTAGCGTTCAGTTCTGCGTGCGGTTAGAGTAGCTTTGGTCAAGGCCTTAACCTTTGTTTTCTCGTCTGTAAAATGGGAAGCGGGCCTGCTGCACACTCGCAGAAACAAGTGAGGGTTGGGTGTGGGATGTGCTTGGGAGACAGCCGTTCTCCTGAGAGCCCCATCTGGTTCCTGCAGCTGCGGATGGCATTTTTGAGGGGGTGGCTCACCACCCCACCCCATTTGGGGCTCCAGGCTAGTCCAGGCCAAACCATAGCCGCTCCTGCCCCTAAGTGTGCTCCCTCTCGGCCCCCAGCCCCCAGTCCCCGAGAAGCGGCCCCCTGAAGTACAGCATTTCCGCATGAGTGACGACGTGCACCCCCTGGGGAAGGTGGCCTCAGGTCAGTGCCGCCCGCCCACCTGCAGCCTGCTGAGGCCTGCTGAGAGTTTAGAATGCCAGCCTGCCTCCTGTCTTCTCTCCTTCCAGATGTGGCCAAAAGGAGGAAGCTGAACTCTGGAGGCGGCCTGGTGAGCAGGGAGAGGCGGGCACAGGCCTCTCCTCTGGGGGCTGCTGCAGGGGATCCCCAAACGAGGGCTGCGTCCCAGCCTCGGGAAATGGGTTGGTGGGGGTGCCAGCAGCTTCAATGGCTCTCATCTTTTTCTAGTTGGAGGAGTTGGGGTCTGCCCGGGGCTCAGGAGAGATGACCCTGGAGAAGGCGAATGCGGGGCTCCAGGAGGAGTGGGAGACGGTGGTGGGGGATGACTTCAGCCTCTACTATGACTCCTACTCTGTGGACGAGCGTGTGGACTCAGACAGCAAGGTGAGGGCCGCCGTGTCCAGGGCTCACTGCCCCCCTTTTCACTCTTTCCTGTTTAGCACCCACTCATTCATTGCCCCGTGCTCTCTGTAACTTACTGCCCTGTGAGCTGCACCCCATCCCATCCCTGACCCTCTCCACAGTGACCACCATCCATGTTATGATTGATTTGTTGTTAGTTTGGGTGTTTATGCCTTTGCTCTTGGTTTGGTTTTATCTCATACCTTTGCCTGTGTACTATCATTCTTAGTCTTACCTGTTTCGCTTTTTACTTAATGTTTTATCATGGAAACTTTCAAATACAGATGGTTCTCAAACAACACAGGTTTGACCTTTATGGGTCCTCTTATACACAGATTTTTTTTCCCAATAAATACCATAAATGTATTTTCCTTACGACTTATTTTTCCCAGCAGACTTGATCGTAAGAATACAGTATGTATTACATATAACATACAAAATATGTGTTAACCAGCTGTTTATGTTACTGGTAAGGCTTCTGTTCAACAGTAGGTTATTAGTTAATTTTGGGGGGAAATCAAAGTTATACATAGATTTTTTTTCTGCACCCCTAATTCCCGTGTTGTTCAAGAACCAATTGTATACATAAAAGAATACAAGAGTGGCCCCCACCAGTTTGACTCAGTGGATAGAGCTTCGGACTGAAGGGTCCCGGGTTCGATTCCGGTCAAGGGCATGTAGGTTCCCCCAGGCCCGTGGTCGGCAAACCGAGGCTCGCGAGCCACATGCGGCTCTTTGGCCCCTTGAGTGTGGCTCTTCCACAAAATACCACATGCGGGCGCGCACGTACAGTGCGATTGAAACTTCATGGCCCATGCGCAGAAGTCGGTATTTTGTGGAAGAGCCGCACTCAAGGGGCCAAAGAGCCGCATGTGGCTCGCGAGCCGCGGTTTGCTGACCACTGCCCCAGGCCATGGTCGGGGCACATGCAGGAGGCAACCAATAGCTGTTTCTCTCACATCAATATTTCTCTGTCTTTCCCTCTCTCTTCCACTCTCTCTAAAAATCAATGGAAAAATATCCTCAGGTGAGGATTAAAAAAATAATAATAACAAAGAAAGAAAGAATATAAGAGGAAGCCCCATGTAACCATCAGTATATAGCTGACTTTTTTTCTTTTTTTAATTAATTAACTTTTTTACATTCAACATTGTTTAGGGTTTTTGTTTGTTTTTATTGAATTTTAGAGAGGACGGAAAAGGGAATGAGAGAGAGAAACATCAATATGAGAGCAAAATGTCGATGGGCTGCCTCCTGCACACCCCGACACCTGCCCCGACACCCAGCCACCTGAGTCACACTGGTCAGAGCTCAATATTAATAGGGTTAGACAGTCATATACTTTGTACGAGTTCCTCCCTGATACTGCCAGTTCCCACCGGCACCGCACTCAAGTCATTACAATATTATTGACTAGATTCCCAATGCTGTACTGTACTTTACATCCTTGTGACTTTTTGTTATTGTTGTTAATCTTCACCCAAGGATATTTTTTCATTGATTTTTAGAGAAAGTGAGAGGGAGGGAGAGAGAGAGAGAAACATCCATGTGAGAGAGACACATCGATTGGTTGCTTCCCTCATGTGCCCAACTAGGGCCAAGGATTGAACCCAAGACCCTTTGGTGGTCGGGCACTCTAACCACTGAGTGCACTGGCCAAGGCAGCCCCCTCTCCCCCCCACCCCATGACTGTTTTGTAACTACAGATCTGTACTTCTCAATCCCTTCAGCTTTTTCACCCAGTCCTGAGTCTGTTTCTGTTTTTATATTGTTCTTTAGATTCCATGTACCAGTGAAATCCTATGGTATTTCTCTGACTTATTTCACTTAGGATAATACCCTTTAGGTCCATCTTTGCTGTTGCAACACAGCTGATTTTTGAAACTAATTTTATTTTTCAATAACAATAGACATACAATATATTGGTTTTGGGTATGCAACATAGTGATTAAATTTATATACCTTACAAAGTGATCACCCCAGTAAATCTAGGACACATCTCACACCATACATAGTTAGTACAATATTATTGACTATATTCCCTGTGCTGTATTTTACATCCTCATGACTTTTTATAACTGGTAATTTGTACTTCTTTTTCTCTTTTTTTAATCCTCACCTGAGGATATTTTTCCATTGATTTTTAGAGATAGTGGAAGAGAGAGGGAAAAACAGAGAGAACTATTGATGTAAGAGAAACACATTGATCGGTTGCCTCCTGCAGGGCCCAGGCCGGGGAGGAGCCTGCAACCGAGGTACGTGCCCTTGACCGGAATCGAACCTAGGACCCTTCAGTCCACAGGCCGACGCTCTATCCACTGAGCCAAACCGGTTAGGGTGCAACTTGTACTTCTTTTTTTTTTTTTTTAATATATTTTATTGATTTTTTTACAGAGAGGAAAGGAGAGGGCTAGAGAGTTAGAAACATCGATGAGAGAGAAACATCGATCAGCTGCCTCCTGCACACCCCCTACTGGGGATGTGCCCGAAATCAAGGTACATGCCCTTGACCGGAATCGAACCTCGGACCCTTCAGTCCACAGGCCGACGCTCTATCCACTGAGCCAAACCGGTTAGGGTGCCACTTGTACCTCTTTTTTTTTTTTTTTAATATATTTTATTGATTTTTTTACAGAGAGGAAAGGAGAGGGCTAGAGAGTTAGAAACATCGATGAGAGAGAAACATCGATCAGCTGCCTCCTGCACACCCCCTACTGGGGATGTGCCCGAAATCAAGGTACATGCCCTTGACCGGAATCGAACCTGGGACCTTTCAGTCCGCAGGCCGACACTCTATCCACTGAGCCAAACCGGTTAGGACAACTTGTACTTCTTAATCCCTTCCCCTTTTTCACCCAGCCTCCCCCTCCCAATACCCCTCCTATCTGGCAACCATCAAAATGTTCTCTGTATCTTTGAGTTTGTTTCTGCTTCATTTATTTTGTTTTTAGTGAAATCACATATAAGTGAAATCATGGCATTTGTCTTTCTCCAACTTATTTTCCTCAGCATAATACCCTCTAGGTCCATCCATGGCAAGATTTCACACTTTACAGCTGAGTGATAGTCCGTTGTATGCATGTATCACATCTTCTTTTCCACTTGTCTATTGGTGGACACTTAGGTTGCTTCCATATCTTCCTATTCTCTAAATAATAAAAGGGTAATATGCAAATTGTCCCCTCCACCGAGAGTTCTACCAGAGTTTGACC